TTTTGCCATAGGCCAAGCCAGTCTGCTGCCAGCGGCTGGCACAGCGCGCCCCGTGCTCCCAGGGCTTCCCTGCTGCCCTTCCCATGCCCATGGGTGGGGTCATTGGCCTGGACCCGGCGGCAGTGGGGGGAAGATCCTGTGCTCCCCTTCAGGTCATGGCGATGCGCACCGCAGGGCTGGGGACGGCACCTCCAGGAGCAGGTTGATCAGCCGCGGGTGCTCGGGATCTGCTGGCAGGGCAGCTCTGCCACAGGAACAGGCAGACACTGTGATTTGGACACAAAGCGCTGGCTTGCGGGAGGCCCCCTCCCTGAGGGGTTCAGTGCTCACGGCTGCGTGAAGCAGCGAGGGGGACACATGTGCAAGGGGTACACATGTGCATGTGTGTATACAAATCTAACGTGTGTCTATATACACATATACGTACGGGTGTGTCTTCCTGCCAGGCTGTACGTGTGCACAGTGTGCACCAGTTTCCGCAGCACTTACCTCATCTCCAGCTGTGAGCATCAGCCGTGTTCTCTGCTGTGGCACTCACAGATGCCGCCTCCCCTGCCCACACCTTGCAACACCTTTGGGAGATGGTGCCCAGCAGAGCCGTGGTACTGTCCGTGCTCTTGCTGCAGCTGGGTTGGCCTTCACCATGTGCGACAGTGGAGCATGCAGCCTTCCCAGCCCTTCGCAGCCCCCTGGCAGGAGCCCTCCCAGCGCCAAAACACCAAGAGCCATCAGGGGAGAAAAAGAGGGAGAGAGAAAGAGAGAGAGCACCTCCCTCCTCTCCAGACTGCACACCAGCAGAACCCAGTTTACAGCAGATTTACAGCAGTTTGCTGTAATCCCACGGGGACGGAGCTCAGCTGTGGACCTCATTCTCTGCAGGAAGCTCCCCTCGGTCACACAGCCTCTGCCAGCTCCCTCCAGCTGCTGGGCGGGCGGGCTCGTCCCCGCGGTTATCCTGACCAGATGGGACTGCGATGGGGCAGCCGGACTCTGTGCAGGTGGCTGCAGAGGCCCCTCTCTGGGAGCCCCCCTGTGCGGTGGGGACAAGGGCTGCTGGTCCCCGAAGTGAGTCCCAGCGGGTGCTGAGGGGCGGCACAGCCATCACCCTGCGCCGGCTGCCAGAGGCCTCCGGCTGAACATCACCTGCATCCGTGTGTGGAAACGCTGTGTGCTGGGGCTGCTGCTGTCCTGTGTTCATGGGGGGGGAACCTCCTTAGGAGCGAGGCTGCTTTTCTTCTATTTCTCTGTTTATTACCAACATCTGGACCCAATCTGTAAAGTCCTTTCCAGCAAAAAGGGGAAGAACTCCCAAGTTACCTGCTCTTCCACACTATGGCTCCACAGCGCCCTTTAGTTTCTGCAGCTGAGATTGCAACAGCTCCAGGACCTTCCCCGGCAGCAAGGAGAACCTGAAGAAACACTGCGGGGTAGCTTTGCCTGATCCCAAGCGAGTTTACATCTGCACTAGTCAGATGTTCAAAAATGGACTAGGAACAACTGCACCCCAAAAAGGGAAAGGACTGATACACGAAGGTGATTTTCTGCCGGGGGGCAGCTGCTCTCCCACATTTCATTCTTTCTTCTCTCTACAAAATTTCAGCGCCCAAAGCTTGATCCATTTTCTCTGCCCTTGTTGGCAAATATCATATGCAAACCCTTTGTTTCTTACCATTATTGTGGGCTTTTTTAAATGCATCTCACTTATAAATAAATATGCTCACAAAGCAATTACTCCTCAGCAACTGGTACAAAGTAAAATGCCACGATACAGTGCAAAGAGCAGGGGTCCTTTTGGTTTTAGGAAGCCTGCAAAATGGTTAAATAATGACTTAAGAATGTGTACCATTTGCCTGGGAAATAAAAGAACCCTTGCAGCAAAGCGTGGATGGCAAATCCCCTCCCACACCAGATCAGCTCTCACAGAACATATGCACACCAGCTGTTGGTTTTCTCTCTTTATTTTCTGGGACAGAAGTTGGTGGAGCTTACGCAAAGCAGGGAAGACAGTCCTACTTTGAGAATTGTTTCTTACGCTTCAGGGCATCGAGGGCTGACGAATTCCTGGAGCAGAGCTTGCACTTCTCCTCGCCGACTCATCTTGGTTGCCTTGCCCTGAAAGCGGCCTCTCTTCCCAGCTCCTCTGCCCTCCAGCAGTTCCGCCACCCTGCAGTGACAACAGTACAGGCTCAAGGCCATGCACTCGCAGAGAAGAGAGTGTCCTGGCCCAAGCTGCTCCAGGGAGCAAACCCGGGTCCTCCATGCCCTAATTATTCTGCTCAGCTGCCTGGTCTGCAACACTGCATTTTTACTAATTTTAAAGAAAGCCTAGAACATGTTACCTGGGACCTAAATTCTCAACTGCCTCAACAGGTCCAGCCAGAAGAAAGAGTCCTGCTTCGTTTTCATCTCCCACAGTCAAGAACAGCAGCGTTTCCTGTGGACAGAGAGATGGACCTTGCTCAAGAGTAACCAGGGCCCTCATGCCTGGGAGGAGGACAGAGACAGGGGCCACAGGACCCACCCAGGCACACAAACGGTTCATAAGTTTCTGTGCGTTACTGAGACAAAGGCTCAAGTTGAAGAAAGTAAAAGGGAGGGAGGCTTTTCAAAATTTTATGCTCAATCATACGTTGCAGGGGACAGAGAGGCACTGAGCTGTCCTAAGCTAAAAGGATACGTTTGGCAGCTGGACTAGATGATTGTTGTAGGTCCCTTGCAACTGAAACAGCCTAGTGCTACCCCGCTCCATTCCAGCCACATGGGTCTGTCCAGCTCTTTCAGGGACAGGCTCTTCTGCAGTGCTCTGAATTTTCACTGCTCTGTTTCCTGACTGTTGAGGACTCCCCTGCAGACCGAGGCTGCTGGGGTCAATAACCTCTTCCAGTTTTTGAAGGGAAACAGACCTGTACCTTGTGATTATGGTACAAACAGAGGCCTGGCCCTGCCTGTGCTACGGCTTGAACAAAAAACCCAGGGGTGTCAGGTTAGTCTTCACCAGCGACTCACCTCTGTCCCAATCTCATTAGCGATGATATTCATAAATTCAGAGTCACCCTCTTTCCTGTATGGATGGATTAAAAAAAAAACCAACCACTTCAGAAAAAAGCAAAAATCCTCTCTCGAGTCCAAAGTATCAAACAGAAACCAAAGGCCTGACCAGTCCTGCAGCTGTGGCCTAAAAGATTAGGCTATTTCCACACACCTAAACCCTCACTGTATTCCGGTGCACATATTAGGAAATCCATTTATCTTTAAGAAATAGAGCTCCTCAGTTGTATTTGAAAATTTCAAGGGCAAAGAGAAATGAGATAGGCACAGTCATTTCTTAGCTATAAAACCGGAAGAATTCAGCGACTGAATTACTAACACATTCCTTTAACTACACAACCTTCCAGCGGGCTGAGGCAATTTAATATTCTGTTCAACTTGTTTATATTCTTCCTCAAGAAACAAGCATGAACAGGTGTCAGAGAGACACTGCCATAAACCATGTAAGATACCATTTTATCCTTTTCCATGAACTCGCTCATACCTGTGTAACACAAAGAGCTGACTCTGAACAGGTTTGCTCTTGAAGTCCCGGGCTATCAAAACAGCAATGTCTCTAAGCAGGTTCAGGTTATTCTGAAAGAAAAGCAAATAAACTGCAGATGGAGAAGTCAGTGTGAACTCTGAGTTGTGTTCCCAGAGATGGGAGCAGTTTTCATAACATCCACCGAAAAAAAAGACGTCTATGATTCGATTCTCAGCCATCCTCATACCTTCTGAAGCAGTTTCACAGAACTCTGCAGTCTCTTCACAGCCTCCACGTGCTCACCTGGTCCATTTCTGAAAGAACAAGGAGAATTTGGATCACCACTCTGAAGGACAGAGGAAGGATTTCTGAAAGGAGCAAAAGCAGGTAACATCAGGAAAAGCAGCACACAGATGTTCTCTGTGGTATTTGTCAGAAATAGTAAAGATGAAATAACCAAAGTGGAAAGGGTATTACTTGAGCAGTGAGGTTAGAGCCTTCTCTGTACTGTGACTTTGTTCAATTGACTTCAGCACTCTGTTTCCTGCCAGGAAAACCAAGTTGGTTTTGTTCTTTTTCCCTTTTTCTGTGCCAAGGAGTTTAATAACCTTAAAAGGAAAATCACCTTGGTCAGAAAAGGACAGTCCTCTGCTTATGCTCAGGCAGGTGGTCAGTTCCTACCAGACTACGTCTTGAAAGCAGCTCAGCTAAGCCCCCCACCTGCAAGTCGCTCAGGTTAGAGACGTGAGTCCCGCAGCACATGTTGGAGTCTATGCCCTCAATGTCAACAACTCGCACTGGCCCTGCGTGGTCATCTGGCAAACCACGGCTTCTCACCTAAAAGGAGGACAATGGCAAAGAAGGCGACACCCACGCGGCGGTTATTCTGGTCCCACAGGTATCATCAGTTCTCTCCTCACTACTCACTGTTTCAATTTCAGGGTCATCTGCAGCCAGTTCCCTCACCCTCACCGGTACCCTCTCCCGGATTTTCTCATTCACGCTCCTCTCCAGGGCCTCTATTTGCTCTGCGGTCACGGAGGGGGTGTCCAGCTCAATGACGCTTCGCTGACGGCCCAGCTCCCTGCACCGATGAGGAACATGCGCTGCTGCAGCTCAGGCCAGCAGGGAAGTCCCTCCGTGCAGCGCTAAGAGCCAGCCTGCTGCTGGGAATGTGGTGACTGGAAGAAAACATACTTCCCTCCTCCCCCCTGTTATCTACAGGGCACGAGGTGTGAACCAAACGCTTGGAGGAGGGAAAGGCAGAGCAGATACTCTGCACA